GACACGGCGGGTGTGGCACATGCATCCGGTTGCTTGCGTGGGATGCTTGAGGGTAGTGTTGGCCGGTTCAACATCCGTTTGTTGATTTGATGGCGTTGGGGACATTCACAAAAGCGAAGGAGCTGCGAGTTTTCCCCGCCCATATTTTGATTACTATAACTAACCCGGAGGTATATGTATACATATACCTCCGGGTCTATAGGCATATATGGCAGTCCCATGGAGTGTTTGGGTAATTAATCTCGAAAATGATCGAACTTGTCCCTTGTCACCGGTGTCACCCTGTCCAGATCCATGGATGAGCCTGCTCAGGTGGTATGTGAACGTATTGAATCCGGACATCCCAGTGCAGCAGGAGCGAAGAGTGCAGAACCAGGATATCGAATCAGAACCAGGTGACAGCGAGGATCTGTGGGTCGTGTGGGTAGTTCTGTCAAGCAATTTCAACCGGGTCATGGCGGTGTAAGCTGTTCTGGGCCTGAAAGCGGTGGGGGCCAGTAGGAATGGCCACAGGTCAAAGACCGGCAAGGGCGGAAGCTAGCAGCTAGCAACCACCTGGTGGAGGGCTCCGTGCCCGTCCTTAACCGGGCCCAGTGTAAATGAATTGGGGCTTCCAATGGCTTCCATATCTATATATATATATATCATATAGTCTATATCTCTCAGCTGCTGTTGATTCGCTTCGGATGCCAGCGCACCCAAGATTCCTAAGAGCTGCTCTGGATGGATGCTCGAAAGCAGGATTCAATGAACGTCAAGGACATATTTGGATATTTTTGGTGTGTCTCACCATGTTTGCCCTATTTGGGTGTAGCCCAGGTTTTCATTTGCTTTCACATACAAATACGGCTTCAGGTGAACCTTCTAGGCCCCATATAGGTCCCTATATAGGCCCCAGATAGCCTATTAGACATGCCTAACTAGACCTGATAATCTATGATAATCTGATAAGCAGTGATTCGTTGCGATGTCGAACTCTGCAGGAGCCCATGACTGATCCCAGGCTCTTGACCTTCATTGTCACCTACCAATTCAGGAGTGGGGGCTGGACAGAGAGGGCTGGAGGCAGAAAATAGGGCCCGTTGAGTAAAGTAAAACGCCCGCACGTTTAGCAAAAAGGAGCGAATGAATACAAAGGACCCTTACAATCCAATCTGGATACTTGATAGGCTCTATGCGAGGTGTGTTGTTCACCTGGCGGTTTTGGGGGTCAATGTAGGCATAAATGGCAGTCCCATGGAGTGTTTGGGAGATGATTTCCTCACACAATCTCACCACCACCATGATAGTGATATCCACGTCAAGTTCCACTGGAGGCTTGGTCCAGATTGAACTCTATAGCATCCTTACTTGACACGGTATGGATGAAGCGTTTTCGGCATTCACCAGGTAGTCACGTCCCCATTGTTCCACCTCACCATGACCTCACCTGTCGTCATCACGGCTGACCACCGCCCACGCATGTGGATCACCTCACCCCCATCGTCAGCGTCACGCCCTATCTCCGCAGGGGCCTGGGCTTCTTCGGCACCTTTGTCACCTTGCTCATCTTTTTCCTCGTCCTCTCGGTGGTGTGCTACCTCCTCTACCTGCGCTTCTACGCCTCGGCCTGGCTGGGCCCGAGCAGCCTCCGGCTCTGGCTGTCGGCGCCTCGTTGAAGTCTGCGTGGTCCGGCCGTGCTCATCAATGTAGACGGTTAAACGGGGCTTGGTCAATCAACAGTCTACTACGAGTCTACTACTATCTCCTAGGGCTCCAAAGTACTTCAGGAGAAGATGTGCCAGGAGGGTCCAACTTGCCTACTTTCTGAAGAGGCATCGGGTTTTGTGCCCAAATGTGCTTTCAGAACCCTGATTCCCCGTTTGATTGTTCGGTATGTGTCCATACACGATCATAGCACCACCATCATACACCCCCCATGGACATACCCCAAAACAGATGGAGAGAACGAACGATCTTGCTTGTCCATCAATGCGGGCCGTTTGGTTCACCGATGGATACCGGACTCACTCACCGCACCAGACACGACACATGGGACTGCCAGTCCGGACTGCCGGCCTACCACCTTCCAAGTTCGGTGGTTTTTGGCCACCTCATGCCACCTCTAAGGGGCTATTATAAACACCCCTTGGAAGGTCCTGGTATACATTGGGGTGGTTTTGGGGGTCAATGGGCCGGCATATATGGCATCATACATGGAGTGCATCGGACATATGTAAACTCGTGATTCATCACCCCCCCATCTGCAGGGGTATTGGTCAATCCTAAATGGGCATACTCTGCGACGAACACATCACATGGAAGTGTAAAAAACCACCTGTTAGTAGAGGATTTCATGGTCATCCCAGTGGCCGTGATCCATAACCATGTGATGTGTTCGTCGGAGTGTATTCGTTTCAACCGCGCCAGGAATGGTGCGGTTGCTGCTTCCCCAAGCGTTCTCAGCTGTTGATCGACCACGAGGGCTATGCGTGCTGCGGCGGGCGAGGAAAGCCCAGCAAGTGGAGCACAGAGACCTGGCGAGGGACGGGAGAGTCGTGGGCCGAGAGATGGGTTTCCAGACTTCGCTGATGAGGGGCGAAAGCTTGGAAGGTGATGAGTGATGAGTCAATACTTAAGCGTTATTGAAGCGTTATTGAGCGCCACGTGTGCCGCCCAAGGCACGTGGCGAGCTCTTGGTTTTTTTGAACACCGCAACGGGGATGCCGGACCAAGTTCCTCCAAAACAACCATGCAAAAACAACCAAACACATCCAAACACAAAGTTTTCACACATGAAGTTTGAAGTAGGTCCTGCTGCCGGTGGTGTCGACCTACTCACCTTCGCTTATCAAGAGTGTCGACCATGGGGAGGGTGTCTCCGATTGGGATGATTAGGGTCATTGCTTCGAGTGACTTTTTGGTCCGCGTGAGCGGCTTCACAGACTTCACACCTGTTCTTCCGAGGACTTGAAGGCTTGCCGGGCTGCGGCGAGGTTAACATGTGCATCGGTTGACCGTTGAAGGGAACAAAGAAGATACACCGGAGGGTCCTGTAGTAGATGGATGTAGTAGATGGATGTAGATGGATGGTCCAGCGAAGATCTGGCATGTTGGCGATGCACCGTCTCCTGGAACAATTATATAGATTATTATATATTATTAATAGATGTTACAAGGTTTCTTCCATGATACTTTTCGGACGCTTTCGGACAACACAGTAGCCTTTGTGTTGCAGCAACTAGATTGAGATGCGCAACATGATTGAATAGTTGGATTTCTTCCCCGGCGATGAGAATCCGCGGTGGCCTCACAGGCCGTTCCTCCGCGGTGGCCACGCCGCCCCTCCAAGGAGATCAACTCCCTCACGCCCATTGAGTAGACGAAAACCACGCCATGGACGTTTCCACGTGAGTCAGCTGGTGAGTGGCTGCAATCGGAAAATCGGCATCCGCTGCAGGTGTGGCTAGACTAGTCCCAATTTGGGTGGCACATGGTGTGCATTCTCTATAGACCTCCAAATGGATAGAAAAGTAGATCCCCACTAAGAATGTATTGGAAACCCTGGGTAATCTACGGTATTGGTCCATCCTTGGTCCTTGGCGACCCCCCGTAAGGTTCCTTTGGAAGAGACCTGAAGAGAACAAGTAACAACTAGACCATTGGCTGGGGGGTCTCGCTGTTGAAATTCAATCAAACATGTCTAGGGATCAAATTGGACACCCAGCCAGCTTGTTGCGGCAAATGCGGACAAGCAAATGTTTTCAGGGAAGCAAGTCAGATGCCTGGAGAAGTAACAAAGCGACACAACAAAGAGTCAAACGAGGCTTATATCATTGCCTGGTAGAATTCATGTATACATTCTATTGGATAACATTTAATTACATTGCATTACAGTAGGTAGCTGTTGATGTGACTTGTATTCCAGAACCTGGTGGCACACCGGGCCGACGTAGAGATTTGCTGCATTTCAACTTCTCAAACCGGGAGGTGTCCGTCCCGGGTGATGGGTCATGAGTTTTTGCTTCATGGCGTCTCTTCCAAGCACACATATATAGCTAGTGGTCCAGGATGGCACGTTTTCCAATAACTATTGAAAGGGACTATATACTTTTCTATAATTTAGGGGGTTTGGGGGTCTGCTGTATTGTTATTTGGTGAGAGAAGAATTGTCTGCAGTGGAGGCCGTGGGCCAGCCAACTGGCCGATGGTTTAGAATGCTGAGTCACGTCCAATCGGACGCTCGCAAAGAAGCGGGTTGGGATAGGGACCCCCCCTCCTACTGTTGGTGGATGGGGAGCTCAAAATGCCAATGAGACACGTTGTCATTGTCAATCCATTCTTCATGCACACGATCACTAGTCCCAAGGGCTTTGGCCAGGCTCAGAAGTCTTGTTTGTTATTTTTTGTGCCTGCCACTCAAGTGATGCACTGATGAGTCAACGGCTGTGAACGGGTGTGGTCCAACAAACCCTGACAACTAGCGATGTCGGTGCCGGCAAAGTCCCGCCCAAACCCGGGTGGCTCGCGCTTCGCTCGAGAGCCTCGCTCCGCTGGCGAAGTCAGCCGGGGGGGGCCGAGCGAGCTGGCGGTCCCCGGGGTACTTGACGCCTTGTGAGAAGCTCACCGGACTGGTTTAACGGACGTTTTACGACCTCACGTGATGTGAGCAAAAAGGCGGCGGGAGGGTGGGCTGTGGAGGGTGACCTTGGCATGGGGTGACTTTGTTAAATGAAAGGCATGCTGAATGGTGCGTTTTCTTTTGTTGGTGCGCGGTCTTGCTGTTTCATAAGCTGGTCATGGCTGGTCATTGGAATGCTTGGTTGACCTTCTTCCGTGGCTTCGCAGCAACCTTCGGAAGGCTTCTGAATATTTCGGAATAGTTCTGAATGGCCCCCCCACTGCCCCAAAACCCAGTTTGTCACATGCACACGACCGGTCGTGCCCTTGGCGCCATCAAACCGGTCTTCGCTCGCGCCTGGAGCCGCACCAACCGTCTGGGCTCGCGCCTGCTGCTCCAGGGCGAGATACGGTGTGCTTCAATCCCAACCTCTACAGCAACGGCAAGGTTTGCCTGTCACTCCTGGGCACCTGGCAAGGCACGGAGTTCCACCACCGTTCCGAGTTCCGGGGCGGAAAGCGAGCCGTGGAACGAAGTTCGAAGCGAACGTGCCCGCGGGTTTGGTACGCCGAGTGAAGCAAGGCAAACGGGCGATGCTTTGGTCTTCAGGTCGGTCAAGTGGTTGTTTAGTCAAGGCTTTTGTCCTGCAACAGTTTAATATACATGACATTACATGACAGATTTACAAGGAAAGAGAAAGAACTCAACATACAGAACATACAGAACATACACATGCTCAAACATCAGCAGTGCAGTGCCGGCATGCGAAGGCTGTTCAAGTTCCTTCCAATTCGCTCCGTCGAAGCAAAAACGACCCCCCATCGGATGGTGTATCGGATGGCGTCAGATTGGTCGATCACCCACTGGTGGGTGTGGCAGATCGGATGAGAAACAGGGCACCGGTTTCTGAACCTGACAGGCACAGGTCGATGAGGTCATGATTTTCTTCATGCACAGGTCATCACAGGTCGATGCGATGAGCCGAGACTGCAGAGATGAGTCAGATGTAGTACCATGATCAGCATCGGAATTTGGGTATCAGGTCATATTTCATTGAATATGTCTCATCTTGGGTTGCCTTCAGAACCTTGACACCCCAGCTTGTTGGTCGACTGGGGACCCGAAGTCACGTCACGTCCGCGCGCGGCGTTCACACGGCCGCCACGGCCAGGCGAGACGGCTGAGCAATGGGATTCGCAGACCTCCCGAGCTGTGCAGGTCTTGATCTCCATCCAGTCGTGGCTGGGCGGAAGAGTTCACGGCGGACGACGGAGGACGACGGAGGACGGGTCGTGGAGCCCCCGACGAACCCGGGGGAGGGTGCGCTTCTGGACGCAGCGCGTCGAACGGACGCGAGAGGCGAGAGGCGGTGATCCATTGGGGCGGGGTCCACACTTGACGGTGATTGTAGCTTTGCTGAAGGGGGCCATAGGGGACGTACCAGTACAATTACAATAGATGGACCTACCAGTCACGATACTACAATCAATACCCGATATGGACCTGTGATGAACGATGCGTCGAGACTGCAACTGGTGTTTACAAGCGGGGCAGGGTGGAGTTTGGGGCCTCCAAGCGTCTCTGATCATGTCGTCTCCGTCGACCTTGGCTCCGAGGTTGATCCTGGTGTCGCAGCCCTACTTCAATGAGCCAGGATGGATCGGAGCGGAACGACGATGGGGGTCGGGGTGCGTGGGGCAAAGTGAGATGGTGGAGAGCAATAGCTTGGCTGATCTTGGCTTGATGCTGACGGGACAATGGACATCAATGGGCAGTGTGTTTCCTTTCTCAGCTAGCTGCCCCTTTCCGAGAATGAGACCTTTGGAGATCACTCCCAAAACAAGAGTCCTACAGGTTGGTGGAAGGCCTCAACAGGGAAAAGCATTCCTCAACACTCAGTTTCATGTGGTGTCACCGCGAGCGGTGTGTCACACTCACGCTCCCTCCACATCCGCTCTGCCCCGTTTAGCGCGCTCCGCTCGCTCGCTTCGTGCGTCCGTCAGGCTTCGAGCGGGAGATCGGCACTGAGCCGGGCGAGCGGCGGAGCCGGGAGTACAACCGGTCGGTGAAGGAGAATTGCATCAGGCACCTGCCCGTCGCACGTCGCGCGGCGGGTTTCTGGGGGCGACTGGTCGTGGTGTGTGGGGGGGGGCGACGGTCGCCCGGGGCCGTTTTGGCAGCCAGGCGAGGGCGTGTGCCTTTTTTGTATTCACCATGGGGTAGCTTGCCAGAGAAGAGCCCGTGGAATTTGAGAATGGATCATGGACTCGATCCTGGAAGTGGCTCCAGCCAACATGTCCGGGGCCCCCGATGATGAGACCATGGGAAGACCTGAGGTCTGAATCCGCTCCAGACTTCCTGGGACTTCTTTGATTCCATGTTTCACCGGACAAGTTCAACCGTATTAAATAGGTTATTGTAGGTTATATATATATATATGGAATTATACATAGGATTCTTCACTGTACAGGTTGAGATAGGATATTAATGGATATATATGATTTAAGGTGGCCGGGGGCCGGGGGCTTCCAGTCACTCCGCTTGTTGGCGCTCACAGTCGGTGCCCTTGCTCCATTCCTGCTTGGTGAGCCGCTCGGTGAGCCACCCCCAAGGCCTCCGACAGGAAGAAGCACGAGCACCTGTCCGATACTGCAAAACCATGTAATTACTGTAGATCATCCTGACATATCTTCACGGATGTCCTTCGAATTGAAGACCTGCTGCTGCTGCTGCTGCTGATCTCCACCCTCTTTTTCCGCGTACCCCCGCCTCCGCGGGTCGAATCTCCGCCCAGATGGGCGATGATCGATGTGCTCAAGAACCCCAAGAAGGACGGGCGCGGGGACGGCGATGGGGAAAGCGGAAAGAAAGCGGCGCGATGGAGCGGTCTGAAAAGGAATTAGGGGGGTCATGTAGACGAAATTCCATCAAAAGACCTCACACGAAGAGAGTTGACAATCCAAATGGGAGACAAGTGTATGAAGCTGAAGAGCCCACATGGTAGGAATCATGCAAGAAAGTTCTGAAGATTTGAGTAAAGGCATGTAGGGATCTTTTTCGGGTCGTTTGCAGCAGTGATGGACCATGGCCTGTGGCACGGATGAACTCGAAGAATGTTTTTTTCCTCTACAGTACTGTGCACGATCCCTTGTTCCTCTTCATGTTGGTATACTTTCTCCCAGAAGAGCGCTCCACCCTTTTCTGGAACCATCGATGCACATGAAGGATGGCTACTGCAAAATACATTAAAATACTGCTTGCCGGACATTCATGTATAGTAACAAGATAGGAACACATTTCACTATGGGATGCAGAGTGGCTTCTCCGGAAGATTTGTGCATTCCCCCAACCAGTGCATCCCTTGCTAAACGGTCCCACCCTCTCTCTATTGTTTGAGTGTAGCGCCCCTTGGTTTCGTCAGGAGTTCACGGAGGCCATCAAGCTTCATGGAGATGAACCATTGGCGAAGGGGTGTTTACCCAGTCAGTGGATATTTAACATCCTTTGACCATTGACATTTTTGGGGTTTGGTGCCCCACTACAATAAGCAGGTTGCCCTCCACAGGGAACCTGGGAGGATCATGATGGCAGTGTGTGGCCCAAGGCACTAGGCACATCTATGCACGAGAGGATCCTGGTAGTGGGAGTCATGGGAACATTGGTTGCGGATGATGTTGTTTTTTGTAAAGTAGAGGGTTGCCTGCCTAGAGGGTCGGCCCCACCAGAGCCATTACAAGGGGCCATGGCAGAAGCATGCATTCCACTCTTTCAAGTTGTTGGCTTGCACGCGCTGACCCATGTGCATGTCTCATTGTCGCCTAGTAATTACCTGGAAGTGCAGTGGGACAAGAGAGCTGTATGCCAATATGGTTTTCGCATATGGCCAGCAAAAGAATATGGTTTTTGACAGGATGTAGACTTAGTCAGACCTTTGGGAGGCACGGTGCATTTTGGCAAGGGCCACGGAGGATGATGAGAACGACGACGGATGAGGACGACGAATGGGTTCCGGTTTTTCGAAATGTGCCCGGGCCGATGAGGCTTCATTTCAAGCTTCAGGCGGAGGAGATTGAAGTGCGGCTCCAGGTATGACGATGTTGAGGGTGGCGGTTGGAAGTGTTGGAGGTCCTCACATGTTCTCACGAACAAAAGGATTCGGGCGGGCTCCCGGTTTTCAGCTGATTCGTTGGCTCAACGGCTTTTGTGCTGCTTACAAGTTGGGGGAGGCAAATGTGCGCGAGGGTTGTGCAGGTGATCCAATTGACGTTGTGACGTTGTGAGGGTTGGGCCTGCATGAGTGAATTTGAGAAGGAAAGCACCCAGACCGGATGTCCTTCTTGTGAAACATGCCACATCAGGCTTTCAATCATCCACCACACCCAACAGACCGCATTACACCTTCCACATCTGGGACGACCACAGAGCCCCCGGCCCAGCCGCGCCCCACCCTGGCTCCCGATGAAGCCAAGGCGACCATCCAAGTGTGGAAGCTGAGCTCGTGCGCAGAGGGTGGGTGCCGGTACCGGCTTTCGGTGAAGAGATGGCCGTACTGTGCTGCCGAGAAACCGGTGATGGGATTCGTACGGATTTTTGTATAGTCTTGTATTAGTATGTATTAGTGAGGTTTTTAGTGGGCTTATGTAGACTATTTTTATGTGCACATATATACTGTATGTCCATCAATTGTATTCAAGCGCTTGTTAGAACACGAATGTTGAATTTAATATGTAGTATATGATCAATATATATAATGACAATGTCGTATATTAGTGTTTGATCAATGTATTCAATATGTTGCCATTGATTGTGTGTGTTTTTGTTTGGCATTGCTCCATATGTTGCCATCGTATTCTTTCGGGTGGCGCCTGGCTGGGCCGTTTCTGAGGAGCCCGCGAAAAAGCCGCGTCCATGTGGGTGTGCAGTCGTTGAGGAGGGGATATGTGGGGTCTGATGCTATGTGCTTCTTAGAATCACAAAAAGCATATAATTAGCCAGGCAGATAGCACCACTACCCAGGCCAACCAGCAAAAAAAGCAAGAACAACCTTGAAGATCTTGAAGGGAAAGACACCTCCAAGAATAAACCCTGCGTTTTTTTTGGGAGTGTTCAATTGAACTCATTTGTCAGGAAGCTTCCAGCAACCCTCAAAGGGATTGTCACCGTGTCACCGGTTGCGCAAGCGCTTGCTCAACCGAGGCCTGGATCGAGGCCGAGGCTGCAACGAAACTCCCCGTCATTCGATGTTTCCAAGAGTTTCCGCCAATCTTATGATGTCCTATGTCATCCTATAGTACTGTAGGTCCGTAGGTTGTGTCCTTCATCTCAGTCGATAGACTAGAGGACGACTATGCCCTTATTTCAACCCAGGGAGAAGTTAAGAACCTTGCCTTTTCTCGCACATAGTCAAATTTTCCAAGCTCAAAGGGCATTCGGGGTGTCATCCATGGTCGAATTAGGGACATCATTTAACTGGGGCCTCTCACTCCTCTCCTTCTTGCAAGTAGTTTTGTTTTGGGCAGATGCATTCTTTGTTTGGTTGGGAACTGTCAGGATGTGGGTCTTGTTGCCAAAAACAGGACTTCGATCGAGCCTCTCCGGCACCAAGATGGCGTCTGACTTGATCTTACTTGATTTGCCGATGCAGGCGGAGGCCGCTCATCGGCAGACGCTGCAAAATCTCTTGGCCAGCTTGAAGGAGGAACTCCAGAGGCGATTTCTGTGGGATTCCTTCCGCATCGCGCCGCTGCGGCGGGCGGGGAATGCACCTGCAGAGTCCGACGTCGAAAAGCATGTTGGGAGTGTGGATCGGTACAAGCGAAGAATTGGACTGGATTGTTGGATTGGATTGGGTTGTTGAATTGCTCGCGCTTTTTTTTTAAATCCCACAGGTTTGGTTCCAAACCATCCTTCAACATCTTCAGGTTTCCTTGGAAGCTGCGCGTGTTCATGTTTGGTGTGAATATGTGTGAATTTCTGGCAAGAGTTGTAAGTTGTGACCAATTGTTGCAGGTGCGAGCCAGAAGCATCTATGTAACTCTCCCGGCCATGGAAGTGGTGAGTACCTTTTGCACATCATGATGGATCCTGGAAACCAGTGGTCCCTCCAACTATTAGTAAGGACGCTACTGGGTGGAGGCCATCGCTACTAGGTCGGCGGCCATTACTACTAGTAGCAAATAGCTACTAGTAGCTTCTTGTTCTAACAAAACGACTCCGTTTTTGGAGTCCGTCGGCGTTGTTTCGAGGGTGGTCTGGCGTGTACACTCCCCGGAACTGGAATTGGATGGCACCGAAAGGACCCATGAAGAGCCTTTTTTGGCCAAACGGGTGAACTCCACTTCCTTCCATTTTGGCAGGGAGAGGTGCGGCGAGTTGGGTGACCGAATTTTCCATGGCAAGATCACATCACATGACATCCACCTGGCGCCCCCAGCGATGCGAGGCTGTGAGAATGCCGAGTCCGGGCCCGTCTACGGTCGGGCGGCCGTGGAACGGCCGAACTCGGAGCGAAGGGGAACGGCCGAGGGCGGCAGTCCGGACTGGCAGTCCCATGTGTCGTGGGACTGGGTATCGAACGATGGGCCCACGAACACCGGTTCCATGGAGTTCACCACCTGTTTGGGAGAGGAGAAGAGTCATCCTTGCGGGAGCCATCCCACGTAACCATGTGAGTGAGTCGGAGGCGACACATGGACAAGCCATTGGGAAGCCACATGGAACCCCCCATGCCATGCAACATACACGGTGGAAGGACCATCAGGAACTTAGAGGCAGCAGACTCAAGGAAGCCATGGGAGGGAGTCCTCGGCTTCTTCACTTCTTCGCAGCACCTTCGCACCTGGTTTTCTAGGCACCTTCCGACGAATTGAGCCTGAGAGGACAGTCGTCTTGGATCCCTTTCATGGTTTAACCAGTTTACAGCCCCGAAGCAGCGATGGACACGGATTTTTTGGTTTCGTCATGGCTCATGACGTTGATAGCTGATGAGAGCTGTACAGCTCACAACACAGGAAGGCAACGACGATATTTTTGTGCGGCATTTGGCACAACTCTCGGCCAGTCTTTGATTTTTTGGGTGGTGCTGATCATTGTTTCGGGGAGTGTATGTGGATTCCAGAGGGTGTTCAACCTGTTCCCATGTCCGCTAGAGGAACCACTCAATGCTCCTGGGCAGAGTGCAACAAAGTCCACGCGTCTTGGGCCTGCGCCCAGGTAGAATCAGCCAAGATCTTCAAGTCTGGCTGAAGTGGCGGCTCTGTCAGCCCATTTTAAAGATCTGTGTATATGCACGAATGGCCTGGCCCCCATCTGCACTGAGAAACCTTGAAAATCGGATTCTAGGGTTTGTTGAGACCTGGAACCCCCACCACGACGTTTTGGAAACCAATTCCAGACAAATCTTTGCGGGGTGGTAGTCCAGTCCTAGTTTCCGTTTAATTCTCCTTTACTCTTCAGTGGTGTTCCGAGGTTGGTGAGGCCCCATTTGTCTCCCTACCCCGTCATGGCCATGGCGCCATCATTTGCACAAGCCTTTGATGTTCACTGTGCACATTGCATCGCTGGCTCACAGCTCAGAACCACCTCCAGCCGGAACTAATCCAAAGGCTTCTACAGGGCTTCTGGTGGAAATTGGTCAAAACTGAGAACCCAACTGGTCGACAACAGAGCTTCGATGGGGGCCGGGTCCGCTTCTCGCACATCCGCCGCTCGGGCTTAGTTCGGGGCTGCCATCGCGGTAGCCTTGCCGTTGCCGAGCCGGGATCCAAAATCTGCGCGGCCAATCGCTCACGACGGGTGCCAGCAAGTCTTGAGGTATCTGCCCTGACAGAGTTACCAGCCCCCAGCCCGCGGCAGTGGGGACGCATGATGCCAGTAATTATGGGGGTGCTTAGAAGCTTCATAACGTGATCTAGCGTGTTAAGTTGGTATATGTTGCCCTGCTGGTGTACATATAACACGTTGCTACAAGAATTGTAGGCCAGTATGCCGCATGCATGTTATCCTGCTGTTCATTGTCATAGCATATACATGTTGATTGCATGCTGTACTGATCTCACAGGTAGTGCTGGCATTCCAAACCAACGTGTCTATGATTGAATCCCGCATCCGCACACTGGAAGACTACAAATCATACAGTGGTTTCAGAGTAGATGGCACAAACCCCAAGATGTCTTTTAGATGGGGATCCATATAAACCACCTTTTGGTTATTGTGCCATCTACTCTCAATCCACTGTACATTTCGCGATCCCCTGCCTGTCTTCCATCTTCCAAACCGATGCTGACTCCCAACACCACAGCATATAAACATTTGCCCTTCTTCCCTCCTCTTGCAAAGCAGTGGCTTCCTTCCGGTAGTGGCTCTTGAGGGGTGTGATGCCAAGCAGGGAGCCACCTGCATGAGTGATGTGGGTGATGGTGGTTTGCAGGGGCTCAAGTACACGAAGCACTCTGATCAACAACTTTAATGAACACTTAAGGATCGATAGATGGGATTGGTGGAGCTCGCTTTGAATGTTGTTTGATCAACTGCCCTCTGAGGTCCCAAGGGCATTCACCCCTGAAGGAATATATATGGACACATCCAGTGAATTCATTTGAAATCGTTCCATTTGTGACTTTGAAACATGCAAGGTGGGCACCACCACTCTTCTAATTAATTGCGTTGCTAGCGACACTGTAGGTGATTGCATCAGGAGTCCCCCATCTCCTTAGGCCTTGCAAAAGAGTCTTCTTTGCAGGACAGACACCCCCCCCTCCACACCGCCTCCGGCTCGGCGCCTTCTTCTCGACGAGCTGAAGCTCGCCGATGAGCTTCGCGAGCTTCGCAGCCTTGGCGCAGCCGTACCTCTATGGGAGGCGGCTGGGGGTTTGTTGGACATCGTAGGTCGTGGAGAGTGGCCCCATCACCAGTCTCGGCAGTTTTTCAAGCCTTTGATGCCCCGTATACTGAGTGGCCAGATTTGGTAACATCACATCCATGGATATGGAGTAGCTTTCGGGTAGCAGGGTAGCACTTGAGCGAAATGGAGAGGTCATTCAAGTGGCTAGGCCAATAACTAGCGGAACACTTTGGACCCACTTGCGCCAACTTCTCCAGCCAAACTTGCTTGACCCATTGGATATTCAAGACATTCTGAGACAACATCCACAAAGTGTCACTTAGGTTTCTTGTATGGCATGTGCACCAACAGGATACCTCCGAGCAGGATCAACCTTGAAGTTTTCTCCCAACTTAGATCTTCACTGATCGCTCCAGCTCGCTTGCTCAGACAGATGTTTCCATGTCCGACCATGTCTTCTTCGCCCCATGGGCGAAGATCGTCATCCTTCCCCTTTGCCCCAGCCTTCTCAGCCTGTTCCACCGTCCCTTTGAACTTCTTCCCTTCAGAATGGGGGCAATTCTAGGGCTGGAGCTCCTCCTGTTTGAAGCCTACCGGCCAGACCCGCCGGCAGGCAGCTCTGAAGGTCTCAAAAACCGGAACCCCAAAGAGGCCTCCAGCCTCGTCCAGCCTCGTTGGTGTCGCTCAGGCAGCACTTCACGCTCGAGGGCCTGGAGCGACATCAGGCGGAGACGCGCTCGCCGGACTACCTCATCCGGACCGGCGGATCTCCGCGCGTGGGAGGTCGGGGCGGGAAGCGATGGGTCGACTCCCGGCACATCGCTTGGGAAAGGCTGGGAAGATCTGGGGAGCTATGGAGATTGGGGTTCTTGATAGTCACAATATATATATATATATTATTTTTTAAAAATATTTGTCCCATCACCTGCAACAGTGAGTAAACAATGGTCAATTATCACTGTTGTTGAGAAGGGCTTTTACCAACAACCATCATCATCCACCGTTATTGGTACTAGGATATAGATCCAAAGTATATAGTAATCATTCCTCAGAAGCTCCAAGAAGGTCAGGTTTTCGGGTAGGGTGAACCCAGACCGGTGGGGGAGAGCGAACACAGGGTGGACAACATGTAACGTAGTCAAAATGCATGTCTCTAAGGGCCTTGGTGATGCGAGTGATGCCAACAAGGTTTAATAGCTTAGTGTATCATTAGCGGGCTGGAATGCTTGAGACATCTTCTACAGTCTGCAGTCATGCCTACGGTCTACACAACTAACCTGAGAAAGGAGGGTGCAAAGAGATTCCACCGTAAGCCCTCAAAAGTTGACCTTCCGCTTCGAACGGCCTTTCGATTGGAACAGCTGATGTAGGCACACTTTGTCACTACATCCCCAGTTTTGGATGCAAAATGCCATGTTCCAACACCAGAAGAGCACGTTGGGACTTCGAGAGTTCTTCACCCCTGTCCCACTGTTTGGACGTCTGCACATGGCTCGCCACGTGACTCCACGCAGCACGCCGAGACACCAGGACCTTCAAACCGCGCCTCGCCGGGCGAGCCTATTTCATCACAGGCCCGGAGACGGAACAGTTGTTTTTTTGGGGTTTTGAGCCAGGGAAGCCGCGGCCCGCAGTAGTTGAAGGAACGGGCTTCGGTGATGTAGGGCCACAACGAAGGGCAAGCCTAAATTGTGTCAATGTCCTTGATACTTGATCAAATTCTGGGTGGGCCTGAGCAGCTTTATAGGTGCTCAATCATCTCGAGGTTGTTCTTCTGATCGCCTTCACTCTACCCTGGCATTGCTTGCCACCGTCACTCTCAAAACGAAATGCGTTCATATGCGTTCCGGAAGTGGCCTTCAATCGACATTGACACCTAGGCACAGATGTCGTGATGCGTGAGGTGGCGCGCTTTCTCTTGGAGTGCGGCGCGCGGGTTTGGATGGCCACTTGGAATTCTTATTGGGCGGGCGATCCTGGTGATGGGATCTGCTTGAATTCTACTTCGGTGCGTGATTTGGCTGTCAGACTCTACTCCTTGTCTTCCATTTGTCACCATGTGTCTTCCATATATTTGTGTTTCTGGCCTAGGTCAAGTCCCTAAACCGCTAAGGCTTGGCCATGTTTCCCCTTCTGCGCATGACCAAGCCAAATCTGTAGAGCTCGAGGGCACCATGACAAAGAACGAGAGTCATATGGCTGTGCGTCAAAACCTGGAACCCTAAGCCCTGGTAGATGGTTCATATGACCGCCTAATTACCAGGACCGCCACCTAAGGTGTGTCTAAGAGGGTAAGGGTTTGGATCTATGAATGGCCCCTGGGAGCCTGAAGGTGAAGCCTTGTGGGTTTTTGCTTGTGGGTCCTGGCGCAGTTTGCCAAGCACTCCGTCCTTGGGCTTCGATGCCAGAGATCGACCCTGTCCTTTCGGGGCCAGACATATGTGGATCGTCGCGCCGATGTGGTGTTCGATGTGGTCCGTGTCGAACACCACCATGGCGTGGCGCCGGAGACTCGTTGGAACCGAGGTGTGCCAGAGTGAGACGGACCTGCACGAGGTGCAGAAAACACTCTTCTTCAAGGCGGGCGAGGCGCCTGGCCTCAGGGCTCGGTGGGACGCTTCAGCGGGCTCCGACGACAGACGTGAAAGGACTGCTCCCATCTCCCTGAAACATGGATGGGGGTACCAGCTGGAAGGTGGGAAGATTGATGAAGATGGCAAACTATGGCACGAAACTCTTCTCAACGCGTTGACTGTGATGGTGCTGAAGCTAGGAGAAGGGGCATTTATTAAAGAAGTTCAGTGCAGGGCTCTCTCCAAACAGGTATGTCAGATAAGATATGCCCTGCTTTGCAAAAAGTACCGGCATCCATTCCGCTGTTCATTTTTTGGGGGGCAGCTCTTGCAAACAGGACCACACATAGAAAAGGACCTTTTATGCCCTACTCACATGCACCAAGGCACTCCTGGTGAAAGGAACCCCACCCAGATTCTTTGACAACACCCACAGCTAAAGCCTTGGCCTTGGACTTCAAAAAATCTAGTGCAAAAACATCCACCACAAGATCCTAGCCACCAGAGCCCAGCTGAGGATGCAGAGGCGCTGCACCTGCTGCAGGGTGATCTTGCTTTGGATGCGGACGTGCGGCGTTGCTGGTGCTGTCCTCAGGGGGCTTCTGGAAAGGGAAGAGGTGGGATGTGGATGCATATGGTAGGATCCTTGGACTTCGCCAAACCGATCAAACAGCTGAGTTCTGCTCTCATTCTGGTGTTTGGTTTCATTTGATTTCACCTATATAGACTCGAGGCATGAGTGGCAGACTAGGCCTGTAGCTTGCTTTAGCCATTTTTAGCCTATGTGGAGAGGGCAGAGAGAGAGAGAGAGAGAGAGAGAGCGCCATGTTGAGATTTTGAGAGAAAAGGCGCAATTTGCTCAGACAGGTTGAAAGACGACGCCTGTGAAGAACACCTTGTAAGAATGGATAAGAATGGATAACATAGGACCGTAGTCAAATCTGAAAGTGTGAATGTGATAATGTATCGATTTTTTGGGGTTCTCCAGGGTTCTCTTTGTTCAAGACGCGCTTCTAAGGGATGCATTGTGAATTTCAGTGTTGGGAGTGTGCAATGCCGGCACCTCATGTTGGTCGTGGAAGCGCAGGCTACTTACTAGTACAGAACTCGACCCTGGCATTCCAACAGCCACTGTTGTAATGGTCTGAATCCCAAATGGACAATTGTTTTTTGAAGTTGTTTTACTAAGAATTGATCGATTGCAAAACCAGGTCACCCATTCTCTTACTGAGTCTCCAGGTATTCCACTTGTACACACCAGCATCCCGTATCGCTGCCGTTTCGACCGTCCTTCTCCGCCAGGGACGAGTTTGTCGCTCAGTCGGAACGTCTCTTGGTGCTCCAAATCTGGATCCGGACAGTTCAAGGGGGTCGAACACAAAGTTCAAGAAGAAACGACCGAGAATTTATGATTCTGAAGTCTTAAAAGCCTTCATACTTAAAAAGCACCAATGGCACCAATAGCCGAAGAGCCAATAGCACAAAGTTAAAAGAAGTATACAAGCATCACTTCTCTTATATACTTATTATTTGCGATGTCTTTTCTGTTCGCGGGGCTTTCCGTTAAGGCTGACCAACTGTCGTGTTAACCGTGATTCCGTGCCGCATGACTGTCGTTTTGGGTGACGTTCTTCCGAGTTTCCATGACGTGCCAGACCGTGCTTCGGTGGCCCACCGTCGAACCACCCGGCACCGTGGGCGCTCCGCTCTGCTCCGCTCCACCGCGGAGGTCTCGACGGGCTGATCCTGGGCGAGAAGCGCTTCCGGGCGGAACGCTGCATCACCGAGGAGATGGTCGAGGAGAGGTCGGCCGACGCGTCGGAAAGGCGCGGACGGCGGCGCCGACGGAAGGCGCACGGAAGGCGCGGTGCGGAGTGACCCACCGATGATGGGAGGATTGCCGATTCGTTTGGGCGGATATGAGGCACACACACACACATATTAACGGCAAAAGTTTACATCACTTTACATCAGGTGCATGGAAAGCATTGGAAAGCTGAAAGAGAGTAGGTGGAGTGAGGGAGGTGAATCCATTTCTCGGCTGCTGCAGCAGTGTTTTGCTGGTCCATCTCGCTTTGGACACAGTTCCAGGAGACCTTTGCTGCGAACGTGCTTCTTGGTGGCATGGGACAGGGCCGGCGTGGCGTGCAAAGCGCCCTGCACGCAGTTCTTTACGCGTTGTATGCGTGCTGTTCAGACATGTTCAGACATAGCTGTGAAACAGGACCTGCAGCCCCAAAACTTTGGATATGCTGCAGCTTCTTCCGAAAGAGGTGCAAGAGCAGCTTTTCCCTGTCATGCAGATCAAGATGTTCGTGCGGCGTCATGTTTCTTGTGATGTGAATGCCAATCCATACATACTGCAGGATGCTGCCACTGAAAGGCAAGCCAACAATAGTGCCACCTAGTGACCTATAGTGTCTTGCAGCCCGCCGTTCATGGTGCAAAGTGGTGATTTTAGGTCGCCCAGGAAGATCGCCCAGTGAGGCAAAACGAGCCTGCGACCCTGCGACCCTGTCCCAAGACCTTTGGTGCACGATGGGTCTCTTCAAATTCTCCAATCGAAAACATGTTCGGAAAACCGGACTCCTTGAACAAAGATTGAACATGATTGAATGTCAGGCCAGGGGCGGAGAGCTGAAGCTTCCAAGCGCCCACGCCAGTGTGGCCAGTCACTACTGCACTGGGCTTCCAAGACCATTAAAACAATGGTTGACCTAGTAAAGCCTATTAAATTAATGGTGGTGGGAAGCCTAGGGTATAGGCATAGGAGTTTAGCCAAATTGAGGGTTGGAGCCCTAACCCAGATCGGTGCTGTGGCCAGAGAAGCTTTGGTGGAGCGGCGGCTGAGGCTCTTTGGAACCTTCCTCCTAAGCATCTGGGCAAGAGGGGCGGACCAACTCCGCACAATGAGTTGACAGGACCGAGTAGATTCCACTATATAGCAGTGGATAGAAAGATTGCTTGCCGTGTTTGACTCACAGCGCCCGTCTGTCATCTTGGACGCTTCACACCTTCGGCTTAGTGACGATCTCCAGGACAACTCTACCATTGACGCGGGCGATTGATGAATCCTAATTAAGCCATATGAAATAAACCATAATAAATAAACCATCCATTTGGGTTGTAAAACCTCTTTACACTTGGGTGGCGTTGTGAATCAACAGTCTATACAGTCTTCAAACCATAGTGGTTTTGCCAGTGAGGAGAGGGGGACCATGGATCCAGCGGAGCCCAAGGCACCGCCTCCGTGCGCCCTCTCCGTGCGACCGAGGCTCTCTGGCGTTGCCACTCCTCGAGTCCACACGTGGCTCCCGCTGGATCGCGGTGAGCAGCTGGGAGATGTGACCTCGGGGGAAGGCATCCGGCGAGGAGGTGCATCCACCCACATCGAGATATATAACTCGATGGAGCTTTAAGAACCATCGATGGAGCTGGGCTCTAGAGCAATCCACACACGGAATCCACAGAATCCATCACTGCTGCAATGCTTTATGATAAGAAAATCCTTCACCGACCGGTCCTCTTGGGAGCACTCTTCGGTCCGGATGTGCCGGGGGGAACCGGTCCAGAGACCCTTGGGGCTTCCCATCCGACCTCGGTTGGGTGATCGACCGCGGACCGTGCCCGTTTGGAACACGCCCATTTGGAACACGTGAGCAGCTCACTGCCATTGTGGCAGGAACCAGCTGCAAGAGCTCTTGGCGTTTCGCCAAGAGTCCGGACTCGCGTTGGCTGTCGCAGCGGCAGTCGCGAGCTGCTCGAAACCCTGAAACCGAAACCCTTCCGGCAACCGCACTTGAGCAGCCATGTGCAAGTGCCCCACTGATTGCCCGTGCCAGTTCGCTTGCCACGCCTGCCAATGCATCCGCCCGTGTCCTGACCTCTTGGGAGGACCTGTGGGGTTTTGGGTGAGACTCACCGATTTACATACTAGTTTATATTGTATTATCCCTGAGAGTCAAAGACTATAAAAAGAACGGTCTCTAGGTGACCCGAGTCTAGGCATTTCCTTTACTTCAGTCGGTCACAGTATAGTCGAACTGGACTTCAGTCGGGCTATTTTATACTAGCATAACTTGCCCAAGACCAGGTCCCAAGACCAGATCGAGGTCGTTGACCTCTAGGGAGTGGAGGCCCAGCAGCATCGATGCTGCGCGAGAGATAGGCATCCAAGAGGCACCCAGCTTCGTGAGAAGGCTTCATTCCAAGAAGCACAGGTTCTAAGCCTGGGAATTCCAGCCCAAAGGCCCTTTTTTGGTCATTCCTGGGTTAAAAACTGTGGAGTTTTTTCATTTTGCATGGTTTCTTGAAATACGTATTACGTTTGTCAATGCAATATGGTTTTCCCCAAGGAAAAGGTCACATTGGCCACACCAACTCATCCCATCACGAATCTCCGCAGACCGGCAACGCGATGTCACGGCCGCGAAAGCGGCGCTCGACCTGATCACGCAGCGTCTGCCATGGTCTGCGTCCCAGGTCAGTGGTGCTGGTGGACCCTTATTCCACGGGTCTCATGCTGGCACCGGTGATCCACCAACGAGGCTATGAGGTCATCGCACTCTGGACCAGTCAGGTGGGTGAGAACCGCGAGCATTTGCCGGAGGCCGCTGAGGGCTTTCCAGCAGCTCAGCGTAACGAGGGAGGGCTACAGTTTGCGCCAGCAGGGGTCCTCATGGTGACGGTGCATGCGTCGGATGCTTTGGGTTTTAGATTTTTCGCTGTGCGACAGGGTCCCGGAGCCACGGCAACACTGCAAAGAAAGCCAGACATAAAGGAAAGGAAGGCCTCACAGACACACAGTCCGTCCCAATCGATTTCTATAAATAGTAATTAATATACCTATCCATAGTAGGATATACTAAAAATATCCTAGTCAGCGCGTAGATGTGTACTGCTCACCTTGACCTCTCCAAGCCACTGAAACCATCCGCCTCATCCAGGAAAACTTCCTCGCCGAGATCGACGAGGAAGCGACCCTCACCCTCACGGCCGCCGCGCTGCGTGCCGTGGCCGCGCCCGCGCCGGTGGCGGCGGTGATCTGTGGCGGTGAGACGGGCGTTCAAGTGGCCGACGCGTTGGCGGAGCAGATGGGCTTGCGGGGGAATAGCATCAAGGTTCGACTTGAGAGAAGCTCCGTGAGACTTCTGGCCTGTTGCAATGAGTTCAGAAACTTATGCAGATCGAACTTGTAATACAAGAAGGGGGACATTCCATTGCCCTGCAGGGAGGCCTGGAGAATCGGGGCGACAAGCAGGTGCAGCAGGATGCGGTGAAGGCGCATGGCTTGAGATCGGTGCGCTCGGTGTGCGGGAAGGCCTGGGAGGAGGTCCAAGCCTTCACAGAGACAGAGGCTTGACACTGAAGCGCCCGTGTTTCGGTGGCTGGGTGACGGTGTGCTGTGCCGGAAATCTGGTGCAACGGAATGCAGGAAGGCCTTGAGACGTTACCCACCAGCATCATCCACTGCTACAGGGAATGGGGATATACCCAAAGCATGAATCAATATGGATCAATGATCATGCATGCATGATGAACATTTTTCGATATAGACCTTGCGGATCCTTGCGGCATCATGATAGCCTGTTGAACTGTTGCCGCCGTTGTTGCATCATACGGTTGCTGAATGTGCTGGCGGTTATTGTTTCCAGAAGCCTACCCAGTCAGTGGATCACGTTTTATATCTCAGACACTCCATGTATGCCATATATGGGGTGGTTTTGGGGGTCAATGTAGGCATATTGGAGAATGGCCCCTTGGAAGACCATTTTCCACTACAAACAGGTGGTTTTCCACTTCCATGTTAGTTCTAGGGAGGGTAACATCGTTTAACAAACTCTTGGGGGGACCGGTTTCCGGGTCGAAAGGACCCGGTTTCACCTATTCGCCTCGTCCAGTCCGGCTCAGAAAGGACATCGGGTTTTGACCTGTTTTGACCCTCACAACAGGGTTCTGGACCGAACCACCATGAGTTTACCCATTTGGGAGGGAAAGGGGAGGCTTTCTGATTGTCTTATTTCCATCCTCAAACCATACCCAAACACTCCATGGGACTGCCATATATGCCCACATTGGCCCCGCTGGCACCACCCCTGGCCGTTTGTGGGGCAGTCCGGACTGGCGGTCCCGTGCCACGTGTCGTGTCTGGGGATGTCTGAGCAGTTGCTTCGGCGTCGGGTCGGGCGGTTTCTGGGACGTCCACCCCGGCGGCAGCGGAGTGGATCTCAGGAACCCTTCCCCATCATCGTGAAGCCCGTGGAATCGGCCGGTTCGGATGGAGTGCCGCCGGGCGAAAAAAGGAGAGGCAATGCGGCGAGGAGGATCGGGTGTATGGGGCCTGCTATGAATGAAGATGGGATCCTCCTACTATCCTACTGAAATGTCACCGAACCACCTTGATTTGGGGAGTGTGGTCACCTAGTGCAAGGTAATTAAGATGACCTTGCATGGAAGCTTTTACAGGAAGCATTCCGATGGTTGTTTTACTGCTGATTATGTCAGAAGTCGCCACACTCGATTTGTCCAAGACTTTGAGCACATCCCAGGAAGCTCTGCCAGACCCCAATGGAAGCTGAAGCCCATTTCCACCTGTTGCTAACCTCTCAGCGCAAGGCTGGCGCACAGGGAGCTGCAGTCTTGTTACAAGAGTATTTGCAAGGAACGGAGCAACTCTGCTGAATGGATCATTTGAGCCCAGGCAACGAAGGCAACGGTCCAACAGATCGGACTGTAATATTCTGATCTTTTGCATTATATAGATGGAGCTGCATGACGTTGGCTCTTACATCAGCCTGGCCGTTGTGTGACCCAACTCCGCAGTTCTGCGCGCACCTCCCAGGTACATCGTGGATCACGTGTCACGCAACGGTGTGCACAAGACGGCCATGGTCTACGTCTACGACCGCCGCGCCGCCAACGGCGCTGGCTTCGTGTGCTTCGGGTTTCGGTGCGTGGCGGCCGAGAGTCCGGTGGCTCAAGAGCTCATCCGCTACACGCGCGGCTGTTTGGATGCCTTGCGGATCACCGATGGTGCCACCCATACCGAGGCCAGAGACCGGGGTGCGCGTGGAGAGTGGTGGAGAGTGGTGAGGGGCTGAAGAAGTGGAGTTGATGAGGTGGAAGAGAGATGAAACATTGCAAAGAGGTGGGTTTCACAAAGTGACACAGGATTTGATGAATGCTTGGTGGAGAAAATAACTGTCCAGAGTCCAAACGCTTCGTTTTCGCCAGTATAGGTGTGTCGTGTTCTTCCTTTGCAGAGGGCCCTTCCAATCGACGAGGTAGACCTTCCAGATTCGCTTAAGATGACTGCCCAGGTCAGGTCCACTATGGTCCACTAGACCTAGTACTAGACCTCTATTCAAGAGAACACGTGCTCAAACTTATGGGAATATTTCAATATTTGCTTGGAAGGCTCATGCAGTTCGCCCAGCATTTGTCACTCACGCACTCAAACATGTATTCCATCTCTTCCTCGTATCTTCCTCGCATTTCACCTCGTCTTTCTTGGACAGGTGATGATGACTGCCACCGGGCCATGCCTGGTCGAATTGAACAGCCGTGTCAATGGGGCCGCGGGCGCTTGGATCCCCTTGGCACGGGCGTTGACGGGATACACGCAGGTGGACGCCACGGTGGATGCCTTTCTCAACGGAGAGGCCGGAACACCGGGTCGTCCGGGGGCCCTCCGGAACCTTCCGGGGTTTGGAAACACCCCCACGCGTGCCACAGATAGAGAGAGAGAGAGAGAGAGTCAGATAGATGTTGATCATATAAACTCCGAGTAGCTCCTCCACAAGGAGAGGCCTTGCAATCAAAGTGGGCGATTCATCAACCGTCTATGTCTACATTCAGGCCTCCTCCTGCACTCCTAAAAAGTCGTCATTCAGGAGGGAAGGAGCTGAGCATAGCGAAGCTAAGCTTTTCAGGAGCCCGGCAGTATCCAGATTCTTCATTAGGGAGCTGTGCGGAGTGACCAGGGCAGTTCCCCAAGCCCTTCCCTTGCGAGGTATCAGTTCAAGTTCAGTAAATCTGCTTCCTGGAAGAGTGCTGCACTTTTGAACGCTCACACATGTTGCTGCCCTGTCTACGCCCCGGCCATAAGTTTGTGATTGGTGTGTTTGTGTTGGAGCAATGTTTCCTATCCTCCACCTTGTTTTGGGCTTCAGCCAGGCCTTTGACCGCCTTCCAGACGTACCTGGCCCCTTCCTCGCCTCTGGATACCTCTCGACCTTAGTATCTTACCACGAGGGCCACGTGGAGGCGACGCACTTTCAGAGGGTTCGGGAGCTCGAGTCGGTGGTCTTTCTGGAAGAAGCGCGGCACGAAGAGGAAGACCAGCGCCAGAGGGGCTGGAAAGCCCCAACCCCCCTTAAAGAGGATGATGGCATATATAAGGCCGTCTTGGGAAGTAGAATAGGTTCCGGTGCTGGGAAAACTTACAACATCGGATTCCTCCATGTCAACAACTTGATTTTGCTTGGGGTAAATGTTGCATTTTCCTTAGGGGTAAATAAATTTCCTTCTGGGGATTTTTCTTCCCGGCAATTCATGGCAAATCCCATGACAACCAATTGGCTGTCTTGTCCTGAGGAAAATCTCCGACCGGGCTGCGCCTTGACCAAGAGCGTCGATGTCTTCAGCCTCATTGGGCTTTGCGTCTTGGTCCACTCGGACGCAGCGGTCTTGGCCAAGGATTTGCAGGCCATACGCGACACCTGGGATCGGCGAAAGAATGCAGAGTTCTCCTTTTTCTGTCCTGTGCTTCATGATGTTTGAGGTGCCTTTTTTGGGGTATCAGGACCCTCCTAGCAGTCCTAACAGGTCAGAGAACCTGAGAAAGGAACAAAAACACTGAGGTGTCCATGGTCCACGGACACCAGTCCTCTTCCTCCGCCTAGGCAGCCGTCTGATCCACCGGCCCCCGTCCGATCCCAAGGAGATGGAGCTCCAGGGCGCCCTCTTCCAACTTGCCGTGCCGTGACACCGCTGTGCCTAACTGGGTGAGACCGGGTCTCACCGGCATCGAGTCGACCGGCACGTCTGGGAGAGGTGAAGGGAAGACATGACGTGAACTCTTAAGAAACTGGAAACGTTTCTCTACCAGGACCCTCCAAGAGGTGTCTATACATAGCCTCTTAGTGGTTAAGGGGTGTCCAAAAACCACCGGGCTTGGAAGGTCCTGTTATAGGTCCCTTTTTACTCAGGGAAATCTGGAAACTCTCTAAGATTGACCTCCATGTCAGTGCCATCGAATTACATCGGCCCGTCCTTGGTATTGTTTTTGCGGCTCGCCAAGTGACGCTCCTCAGGCCCCAGGGTGGCCTAAGAGGGTTTGAACTTTTTGAGATCTTCGCTTTGCTTTGTACAGCCTGCGGATTTGTACAGCCGCCAGGTCTCTTCCTGATTAGGAGAACCATGGCGACCGCGTGTTCGGTCACGCTGCGAACGCTGCGGCCGCGCGTCCCGCACATCCGGGAAGCGCGGCAGCCGCAGGTGCTTCGGATCTCATCGGATCTCATCGGAGAGCTGAGTGCAGGGCGCAAGCTTGCAGGTGGACATCATCTGGAGGCACTGCTGACCGCGCTCAAGCACTGTATAGCACGGGCAAGGCCCACAAGTGTGGCTGAGGCGAAGGTTTGCCAATTCGCAATGTAAAGACGATTAAAGACGCAAAGCTGAAAGAAGCCTTTCCAATACTTTGCGCAACAAATTGCATTGACCGCCAAGGCATCATCACGGAATTGCAATGAATTGGAGAATGATCCATTATAGAAGTTTGCAGAACGTTCTCCCGTCGACAGGCCAGCCACTCAATCAGCATAAATCAGCCTTAGGCCGTTCAATTGAGCTTCTGCACGCACCAACGCCCACGTGTGGTGCTATAACCTCTCCCCGATTGAGCCCCTTTCCGCATGCGGACCTTTTGGGGAGCGCCTCGCTTGGTGCACGTCTATATCTCAACAATTAGGCCACTCGAGACCGCTCAGCCCTCGAATCGCCCCCCTCGAGGTACGGCGTCGCGCTGCCGAGCCTCTCCACGCTCACGGCCGCGGGCGAGGACCGTGCCACGCGGGGGCTGAGCTTGCCGGGCGAAGACATCGGTCCGCCTGGTCGGGCCTGCCTTGCGAAGGTTTGTGTTCCTTTCTACTCTTCCTCGGCGTGGAACTAGTCCAGGTTTGAAGGACATCCTTCACAAGTTGGTGGAAGAGATCTCTTGATTGGAGAACATGGAGGGTCTAGGCTTTAGGCTTTAGAGTGCAGTTTATTATTAGTATACTGCGATGTCGATTGCGAAAAGTGTTTTTGTAGGCGGGGGTGCGGTCTGCCACTCACAGTGGTTGAGTATGTGTGCAATTCCGGCTGTCCGAAACCACCGCTCAAGCCTCACCATTGGTCGCCAACGCAGGGCATAAAAGCAGATCGATCAAAAAAAATGCAAGAAATCCCAAGGATACAGCCTGAGTCGTGGTCGCATGTATTTGACAGAGGAGTGAATTTGGGCCGGTCACCTGGCGGGCTGGTGTCTCCCCTACTTGGAGTTGACACCCTTGAAACAAATCGACTTTTCGAGCAAGTTGAATGGCCTGATTTGGCGGAAGCCGTTAGCTTAAGGAGAGAACACATTGGTTGAAGGGTCCCCCCATCTGAAGACAAACTCACCTATGTAGCCATCCTAGCCTATGCTAGCCTCAAGTTGTTTAAGCCTAAGAACCGCCGGACCACTTCCATCCCCTTTTCTCGCTTGGATGGCTGGCTGTGCCACCCCTTTGCGGCAGACAGCGCACCTCGGCGGCACCGAGTCGGGCATGGAGGGGTAGGGCCGAATTGGTGACAGACATATGGTACGAATCTCCTGGCGGACTTGATATGTTCGGTGATTTGGAGAAGAATCCTTGTGGACCACAGATGTTCCCCCCTGCATGTGGTTGCACGGTACATGTGGTTTTTGGGGGCTCTTCCATGAACAGCATCGGGCCTTCGGAGTGCTGCCAGTGCTCAAGAAAGACTTCTAAGAACATGAAAGAGCATTCCCACTACCAGGACCTTCCAAGAGGTGTCTATAAACAGCCTGTTAGAGTAAAGGGGTGTCCAAAAAACCACCTGTTGGAAGGTCCTGGTATAGAACTGATTTGAGGGGCTGAGGTTAGAGGCGGTTCGTAATTTCTGCCATCAACTGCAGACATGTGTCTAGACTCTAGACGACGATGTGCTTGATCTTCGCACTTGGTGGCATTTCATCGCTGGTAAAGATACCAGAAATACTACAGTCAATCTTCAGCTGGCCTATGTGGCTTTGCTACCATCCTCTCAATCTATACAATGTGGACTCTTGATTATAGTTCAACCTTCACCCCCCCGTAATCTATGGACTAAATCTAAGGACTTCGAACTCAAGCCGTAAGCTCCAAAGGGGGAACCCGAGCAGCACGCCGAACCGGCACCGCCTTAGGAGCGCGCTCGCTCGCCCTTGGCGGAGCCGGCTGGCGTGATGCCTCCTGAGGTGTGGAAGGGCAGGTAGCCGCGTGTGACGAGTGCTTTTTCCACCTGGATGTGTATTTTAATCAGGAAAATTGGTTTCGGTGTCTATGATCCTTCTTCCAGGGGGTTTTTGGGAGGTTTGAATATGCACCTGCTGGGTGTGGTCGGTTCCAGTACAACGGTGTCAGCATGGTTTGGTGGGGTCCAAGTCCGTGGCTCAAGTTCAAGACATTTCGAGACCGGGTTTCGTGGTTTCTTGGCGGCGCTGGGGGTCTTGCGAGGGGAGAGGTCTTGCGAAAGACAGGTTGGAAATCGGTTCGCGCCGGTTTATTGGTTCGTGTTCGGATGCCGATGTTCAGATTCCGACACCCCAAACACATATTGACCAAACAGATATGGCCGACAACTCAGGCGAGAAAGACATGAAAACACATGAACACATATAGTGAAACAACACATGCTTTTGAAGACAATTGAACACCGTGAAAAAACTTGCGAGAAACCGCCTGAAAACACCTGGAAACACCTGAAAGCAGCTGGCCAGAAAGCACCACCTGTCTCCTGATAGCTCGGCACGGGGATCAGGTCGAAGGCCGTGAGGGCGGCCGGCAGGGCGGCCGAGGTCCAGCGCCGGGCTCCGCTTGGGTGCGGGCGCCCGGAGGCACCGGAACGGTGGGCGAGAATCGGGTTTAAGAGAGGATTGGAGAGGATTCTTTGCTTTTCTTTTTGTTCTGAGCTTTCTGAAGCTGAGAGAGGATTAGAAAGGATTGGGATGTTCTGAGCTTTCTGAAGATGTGTGTTCTGAGCTTTCACCTGTTTCTTGGCCCGAATTCACGGGAATCCGGAAGTCCGGAAGTCCCTAACCTTTTTTGAGCCACATGATGCCACATGTATGAGGTGAGCCTCCAGCAATGTAGATGAAACATGAGATAACATGACTATGATGGTCTGAGCACTGACCTTTTTGAGTTGAACATCCAGATTTCAAGGCCAAACCGCACGGTGAACACGTCGCATTGTGAACGCACGTCCGATTTTTGTTGGTGAAGGTCGGGCGTTTCCATCATCGAAGGTTCAGCAAGTCAGGAGACCCAAGTCACCAAAAGCAATGAGAGATGATAGATACCAGGACCTTCCAACAGGTGGTTTATTGGAAACCCCTTTACTCTAAGAGGCTGTTTATAGACGCCTCTTGGAAGGTCCTGGTAGATACCCTGATTACTTGGAACCTAGTGGAACATAACCAACCGCAAAAGGAAGACTGTACTCTGCTAACCGGGGAAGTCACTTCACTTCCATGATTGTTTCAGGGGGCAAAGCCTGGACCCTGGAGGAGGCATGCGGGGTTACTTCCCAAAGACGGGTTTTCTGAGCCTTCTACCGCCGCAAGACCAGTAGGACCTAAACGGGATGCACTAGTTCACTAGTTGATTCCTGGTGTCCGATCGACGTATCTTGGAGCAATGATTGAGTGACGTTGATCCAAGCACCGAAATGGCCAAGGTGAAGTTCCGTGCCACGCAGGCTGGAGCAGCGGCAGGGGTGCAGGGGTGCAGGGTGAGGGGCAATTCCCGAAAAGGACCGTTTCTTCGAGGCCTTCGGTGTTCGCAAGTGCACCCACACGCAGCTTTACTTCTGCAAGTGCCTGGGGCCGCGATCCACGGATATCCGCGGTATGCGGCGCCCGGGGCGCGCCCGCGCGCCCGAAGTGCCTCGGTCACCACGTTCAGGTCTTGGGTGGCAGCGCTGCTGGGATCTTCTCCTCGGTGCCTCCTGAGTATGTCACTTGGAGCCACAAGGAGGTCCTCGGGAGTGTCCTACTCAGGAAGCCTGTGCGGAATTGTTTGCCACGCTGATGAGCATTTGGCCACCGAAGAAAACGCAAACAAAATACCACAGCTTCCAGTATCTTTAGCTTGCCTGGCTGTGACATCATTTATATCCTTTGTCCGTGGGCGGTTCTTTTTGGCCAAGAATGAAGCACCACCTGGTGGGACGCTCACACCACAATACTAAATTCTTGGCTGAAACTGAAACGGTCTTTCTATCGTATTTTTTCCCGAAATGGGTTCCCTCCTGGTGGGGCTGTGGCCCACGGCTCAGTCTGTTTGACATCCATCTCCACTCCGCCCCTCCACCAGTCCCTCAGTTTCCTTGGAACATCAAGGTCATGGGTGGGTTGGGCTGCATGTGCCATACGGTCAGGCTAACATCACCTTGCGCTTTGTGGGGATGTTTTTGCTGATGCACGCCTTGGGGTGAATTAAATATATAGTAGATAATTAGCACAGAAAGAAGCGACAGCAGCAGGGCCTTGTGGTTCAGAGCTTACGTCAGCTTAGCTCCGCCAAGGTGCAAAAGGACAACTCCAACCAGGAGAAGGAGGCCGCAGAGGCAGGTGGGATCCACTTGAGTGTGGAAGGCGGGCTTTTTGCTCGGCCAAAACGAGCACTCCATCCAAGGCCCACAAGGAGGCCCTGTTCCCAGCTCCAGCACCCTAGGCCGTTGGATCCTACTGGCGCCATACGGCAGGTGAAAGCAACAGCTTGGAAGGGCTTGGACATCCACCACTCCTTGAAGCTGTAAGGCAGCCTTTTTGGGACACCAGGGTGCACCAGGTGTCGTTCATGTCCCAAAAAGATGTACCTACCCAGGAAGTCCAAGACCAATGGTTGATCTGGTTTTGCAGAGTAAAATCATTAGGGAAACCATGCAAAAACCATTGACTATAGGGACCATACCATGCAAAAACCAGTCCAAACCATTGACCCTATGGTTCGACTCACCGGACGGGCCGATTTTGGTCCCTTCGCACCTGACGGGCCGATTCCGTGAGGTGGAAGTCATGGCGCGGCAGCTGGGGGAACTGGTTTGGCAGCACGACGTGCCACCACCCGACTTCTCAGCCGCTTCGCAGTCGGGGAGGAAAGGAGGAAAGGAGGAAAACCACGGTGAGTGGAGGACCAATGCAGGGCGAGGAGGTCTTTCTGAGGTGACGAGAGGTTTTCCAAGAGGTGATAGTTGAATGAGAGAAGCAGTAAGCAGGGGAAAGACCGATGGACACGAACGCAGTAGCAAAGACCAGGTTTGGAGTTGCTGCAGAAAGGCAAAAACATTCCGCAGTCATGAAGCAATGACCTTTTGGAGGATTAGGCTCAGAGGGTGAAGGACTGCTTTTCACCAACACCCATTTTTTTGGATGTGCACATATAGTCACATTCATAGCTGCATCTAGAGGGGCCAACCCTTGTATTCCCACGCGTTTAGTCAAAGGAGTGAGTTTGGAGCACAGGAGCGTTCCGTCTTTGACCCGGTTCCATTGTGCTCCTCCATTTGCCTTGGCCTATGCGAGGTGATCAACGACGAGATGGGCACCCCCTTGGTCCGTGCAGAGCTCTCCCTCTTCAGGTTGGACGGTGGCTTTCAAGGGGGTCCCAGGGAGTCAGCATCGTGTGACTCGAAAACATATGTCACCATCGCCGCATGGTCCAAGGGCCAAGGGCCCGAACGCGTTTGGTTCTGGCATTTGGCATTCCCATGAATGGGAGTGGACTATATAGGTTGGCTCTGTCTCATTAC